CGCAACGCGAAAATCCGGTCGCGGACTCTCGCGATAACTGCGGATGCATTATCGTATTACGTTTCGCTCGACGAGACGCGAGCAACGCAAATGAGGACTTATGTCCGTGTCGTTGTCTTCCATCCAGCGTCGTTATTTTTTTCCCACTCGCGTCGCGACGAAATTTACCCCGTAACGCGCCCCACCCAAGGGAATTAAACCGAAATTTCGCCCTGGGATAAAACTACCGGCGGAACTCGCTTTTTCCCAATTAATCGCTCAATGGAATCCCATCGCGTATTTTAACACTTTTACCGAGTTCCGCTGAGTCCCGTTTTTAATCGCGTTTCTTGGAATTACGCGTTAAAGGCTGCGTTTACGCTATGCGCCTTTTGTATCCCGCGAGGAGGGAGGGGTGTTTTACACTTTTACCGAGTTCCGCTGAGTCCCGTTTTTAATCGCGTTTCTTGGAATTACGCGTTAAAGACTGCGTTTACGCTATGCGCCTTTTGTATCCCGCGAGGAGGGAGGGGTGTTTGTTTCATTACGTTTCCCCGTGCTCCGTTTCAATCGTACCTGTAAGGTTTGAGCGACATTTGTCCTATTCTTGGTACGTTACACCCGAATCTGCAGGAAGACGTGACGATATTACACGACATCCGGTATTACGCGACAAATGTCGGAAATAGATACTTGTTTTATCCTGAAGGTACATCTGTCAGGATTCGAAGAGAATGTGGAAGAATCGAAGATTCGAGACAGGAGAATTATTTGATCATCTTGAAAGAAATTTTAGAGTTCCTTGAAAATACGTGGAATTAGGAGAAATCTTTAAAATCTATGTAGAAATGCTAGGATTCGAGATGCTAGGAATACGAAGAAACACTTGGGCCTACTTAGCTGATAGTGGACAATAAGCAGAAGTATCGAATGCAAGTGAAGGGCGAAAAGCGTCTGACCAGAAGAAGACAAAGTGCAAGGTTTAAATAAGGGTGCAAGGACTGCTCTAAGACAGTCCTTTACGGAGTTTGAAGAAGAGTGTTAGTTGCGTGATCATAGTTCAGTCTTTTAGTTTGTTCTTTACTCCTAATTCTCTTTTAGCTCGCAATAAATATATACTGGAATGAACCAACATCTTTTGTTTCCTATATTCGCCAATGAAACGTGTCCCAACAGAAATGTAATTTATCTTTTAATTTTGTAGGAAATTTGAATCGACAGTAGAGCAATGTCAAATAGCGATATCTTTTCCCGCTGTATTCCCCTGACAACGAGTGTAAATGTAATTTTAGTCTGTTTTAATTTCAAATGTTTCGCGGGAAAGTCTATGGTAATTAAAGTTAGAACACGTTTCGCGTTTAAGATTCAGCATCGAGCAAGATTGAACTAATTCGCCCGCACTGAGACTGAGATCGGTCAAAATTAGGGAAACTATTTCATCTGCGCGACATTGCTTTGCAACAATTAGAACAGGATGGACCAAAACGCGACTCGACTCTATGCCAATTGCTCGAAATAAATCGTCAGGCATAGTCACCTCCACGCGGTGAGATCTGATAATTGGTACCGATCTCTGAAGGAAAATGTCCGGGAAATGATTCCAAGCTGAGAGCTTGGTATGCATTGTCGCGGAAATTCGTCGAATTCGTAATCGGCAACCCCGAGAACCTAAAGATACCAAATTTTTGTATAAATCGAGGGATGCCTTCCTATTTTGACCAACTTTGCGACGAAATCCCTCACACTGTGCATTGCGTTCTCGTGGCGAGGACGCAGCGAATGGAAACATTTAAACGGATCGCATCTCGACAATAGATATGGCGGAGGGAGCAACATGGCTTACCGTGGGATTATAACAACGGGATCTTGATCCGGGCGAACCGACTAGCATTAATACAATTAGAGGAGCTTTCCTAAGTACCGTAACGCGGTGCACGGTCGGCCTGACCCTTGGACTTGGCCCAAATATTCGCGACTACTAGGGCCAAACCACCGCGAGCCGACCCGTGCACGAATTCTATTACCGAATCTCTGTTCCGATATGCCCGTGTCCCTGTGCCGCGAATATTTCACGACGTTTCACAGCAATGGCTGCGAATGGAGAAAAGTATAAAGCACGCGAAGCGGAGAGAGAGGCGGTGCAAGGATTTGCATTTGCATTGCAGGAAGAGAAAGAGAGGGTAACAGTAGAGGGAATTGGACAAAGAGAAGAGCGGATGGAAGTGGAAGGGCGGTGTAAAATTATTATTTGATGAATCGAGCTGATGGAATTCGTTTTACGAAATTCTTTCTTCCTTTGTCTCCGCGGCTTTTAATGGCTTCGCTTTCGATGCGGGTCCGCGATACGTCGAGTTTTGTTAAATATTTCGATATTCGCGCGTACCTAGTCTCGTCACGGGAGACCAACTTACGCGTCGATTTACGCGCCCCATGCGTATTATATCCGACTAACCGTGGTTTCTGCGAGTATGGATGTAAAACGAGCAATTCGAGAACCGAGTGCATTCCGATGTTGCGAGTACGCAAAGCTGTTTCGTCTTAAAATATCTGTGCGTTCCCAAGGCACCGTGCGTTACTCACTCGTGTAACAACCGAATTATTCACGAGCAGACCGAACCTATCCTTGTCGTATTAATTCCCACTTTTATCATCGAAAGGCTCGGAATATTAATTCAAACGTACACCTATCGTATTCAGCAGCAGCTTCGATCCACGTCCAGATGACACCGTCGACTCCTCAGCCGTCTATGATACTTCTAGACTCGACTGATTTTACAGAGTGCGGTACGTAGCTCGAATCTGCTATATACGATATTTATTATCGCGGAAGATGCACAGGGACAGACCGGTTACGGAGGAATTTGAGAAAATCGAATTACGCAAAGCCGTTAACGTAGCGATTGAATGGCCACCGGTTCCTTTGTCGCCGTACAGGTGCACACCTATAAAGGCGTCATCGATGACAAGACAGCGATATCTTTGGCACGCAGGTGGCCATTCGTTTACGGTTTAGAACGAAGCCGATCAACTTCAAAGGCAATTCCAGCGCGGCTCGATTGACCGACACTCCCCGGGTTACAGAGCGTCAAACGATCCTGCGGATGGCCGACCAGCTCGTTCGCGTTTCAAATCTACACGGTCCACGACAAAGTGGACAACGAGTCCGGTGAGAATCGGCAGAGACGAAGGCGCTCGAAATCAATTTCGCACTAGCACGCCCGACGCGGGTGTCGATTTATGATTGTCCAAGAGACGAAAGAGAATTTCTACTTTCGATCGCGCAGCTCCTTTGTTTTCTCTTCGAATCGGTAACCTCTTTCATTGGCGAACGGATAATTTATTAAATGACAACGATCGAGGACGAATAGAAGATGCGTCGCTTGTCTAGGGTTCCTAGTATCAGAGCAGAGTATCAGAGTATCATGGTATCAACAGCAATGCAGTAAGCACGCGTTCACTTCGAGACTCTGATTACTCGCTATACTAGTCTGACAGTAATACATACTTTTATTATAAAATAATCCCAACAGATCCAAATCGAATAATTACACCGCGAAAGGACTGGCGTTAACAGAACCAGCTTGGAAATTTGAGAGAAAAATGATACTAATTACGTTATACGAGACGTACAATCGTGTGGAAAAGAAAAATAATAACGATTCTAAATAATAACGTTATGTATAGCCTAACGAAGTATAACCAGCTTAATGAAATTGTCGAAATTCCATCGATACGATTCGGAAGTACCACTTGATAAATTCAAATGGAATAACACGCGTTAAACGATTAACGAAAGGCTGCCACGAACAATTTCCTGTATTATTACGCGTGTCGATCTGTTCCGCGGTGTACCGATGCGTGCTATCGGAAACATCGTGGATGAAATATCCAGGACGGGCTTCCTGTTCACGGTCGATGCGATAAGGCAGCACTTCGACTCCGTGTCGTACGTGCATGACTTCCAAAGACGCGAAATAGAGTCTTTCCCGATGAAGCAACCAGATTAGTATCTTCGTCGTGGCATCGCGACGTTACCTCGAGGACCACGCGGTACCACCGATTTCCGGCCGCGCCAGATTCAATAGCGAGCGTGATGTCGCGCTTCCGGCACGTACGAGCACGAGCATTGTCGATCGCCCGACGTTCCTGATACACCGGTGATATAGCCAACAAAGTGACATCGGTACTCCGTAAAAGCAATATTAGATCGCAGTGTACCTCTGGTTACGTTTGAAAAAATCCAGCAATGAACGAAGACTTAGCGAAGAATACAGAAATTTCCAGAACTCTACTGCGATTCCGTCGAAGAAGTACAATTCCCGATACCCCGGAGATATAGACTACCGATATTTTTCTATGAGCGTACCGGATCGTACCCTAACTCTGGTTACGTTTAAGAAATCCTCCCTCGAAGAATAAAGGACGGTTTAGCGCGAAACATACGAGTTCCCGGAGTTCCACTGGGACTTCGACGAAGACAATGCTATCAGGATCCATCGAGGGCAGTTTCCAAGGAGGTTAGACGATAATTCTCGTTTGAGGAAGTAAGAAAAGTTGCGCGATTCTGAGGGACGTAACTCTGATCCAGACGTCGTATATAGGGGAGTTACTTTCCCGTTCTTTGGCTATCAATAATAGAATTATGAAGTTCGCCGGAATAGCCAGTTTTCTATGGAGAATATATCACCGGCAATCGCGTGATTCTTTTGTCAAGAAATCGTCTATACGTCGAGATAACGATCGATCGTTTACGCGATTTTAATACGCGTCGGGGTTCGCGGACCAAGTTACCACGATCGAGCGAAATTTTGAGGTTAGGTTCCGATTGTCTACGCGATTTCGATGCGCGTGTTTATATCGAGATTCGCGAATAAGGTTGTAATATACGGACGATAGATCGAAATTGGAACTTTTAACGGGACTTACTATAAAGGTATATAATTATCGCGACTCGGAAGATCCGATAAGACTCATCGATAACTGCAACTTTGATTGGTTCAATAGACAAAGTTTGTACTTACTGAGACGAGATAGCTTGTAAACATCCTCGGTATTAATTAAGTCTGCGAAAGCCTGCAGCTCGAACTTCCGAGTCGTGGCATTCTGGTTGTGGTTGTACATCGCAAATTTGAAGGCTGACTGAACTTCGTCGGTACCCTGCTCGAAGATTACACCTGTAATCAGAAAACGGGAACATTGATCGCTGACTTTATCGCATGGCAACTGACGTAGACGTTTAACGTGCACCGGAAGATGTTATAGTTACTATAACGTCTATATACGTATGCTATAGACGTTATAGTACTAGTCGATCGCGTTGATAGATTGTCGAAATTCGAATATATATTTCCGATTTATCGGAAAGAATAATTCATGCGTTTTACAGACACGGTTGCGAAGCGAAGGTGAATAGAGTTTTGGGATACGCGTGTTTGAAAAAAAACAAAACGGTAAAATGGAAACACGCCAAATGGTAACTACGCCAGTATTGCGAATAAACTGTACAACAACGTACAATTTATTATACAATGCCGTTGTTATTAATTTAATAATAGCTAGTCCTCTGATTTACTTCCTCGCTACTGGCTTTGTACCACTCTCATACACCTAGCGACTCGGTTCTTTTGTTACGGTCATTAACATTCCGATCACACGCATTCGCACCCATTCCTTACCGTATTTCTACGACGGAACCAATTCCTCGCGTGTTACACTGGCTACGTGATCCTTCACTCGACGCCGGCCACAAAGGCACTAACGCCGTAGCGAGGTCGATCGGGCGAGACCGCGAGAGATAAACATTCGGCCCAATGCCATCGGCTCCTTGTTTTCGTTCTCGCACACGGATATATACACACGTTGAAATCCCGACACGTCGAAATATTCAGCTTAGGAATATTTCAACGCATCGCCACGATGGAAAATTTTCGTTTATACGAGTCTTCCGAAACAATTAAATCTCGTATAACGAAATACCGATTTTATTATTCTTACAATCGTTATCACTGAGACTAATTAACGCAATGTCTACGATATGTACAAGTAAATTTGCTCGTACTTAAAAAGAAGCTATACAACGATATATTTCGTTGGAAGCCGTTCTTAAATATCGCGTGCGCGTGCTAGCGGATCGCATATGGAACAGTGGTACGAGCCAACGTCTGCTCAGCCACTGTCGGCCCTCGACCCTCGTGTAATTACGTCGATCCATTCGCCGTTAATAGTCGGTAATACGTACCGATATTAATGCTGCCTCCTGTTCAACGGTTTACCCTAAACTACCTACACAACCGATATTCCGTTAAATTCCCGCTTATAATATCTCCGATAAGTTTTCGACTATCCCGCGAATCCTGTTCGACCCTCGTCCTTCGAATTCCCCGAAACGGCTCTATCTACCTGGAAATACCAAAAACGCAGATCTCTCGACCTGTATCGCGTCTCGATTATCGCGATTCGGCGGCGTTCCAGCGCGATTTCAGTCGGCAAACATCGGGCTTCCAGCCGATTTGTCATCGCGAGCATTGATTTTTCTGTAAACAAAAGTTTAACGAGTTCGGTACACGTTCCCCCGGTTTTTCGCTATCGCGAATGGGCAAACGAACGGCATGCCGGGGAATGCAGCGGGCAGGATCCGGGTGGATTTTCTTTCTCGACTGTTAAAGAGAGTCGAGAACAGCGGGGGAGACGAGAGTCTGAAAAATTTCGTAACTCGCGCGTTTTTTCACCGCGACGAACGAACCTAAGCAACGAGACGTCGCGTCGCAACGATTTTCTTTACGACTTTCAAAGTCCCCCAGCTGAATTTGACTTTCCGCCGAGTGTTCCTCCCTTCCATCGCGAAATGAGAGAACTTCTCGCACGCCGTAACCTTATATAATATCGTCCCACGGATTTTTCTTATTTTCCGGTCCCGCGCTCCCTCTCGCGTCGCGCAATTTCGTCCCGCGATCCGGGAAATCTCTAAAGGTCCGTTTAATATTTACGAAAGAACGCATTCATAGCGTTTCGTCGTTATTTCTAGTTACTCTTTGACATATAGCAACGTACACTGACGAGCAAAACTGAACGGACGATCAAACTTGTTGCAAAAGATATGGAATAATGGCGAGAGGATTAAAATCAACCCTGGGGAAATTCGAAATGATATATCGATTTCGTCCCTTAAACTTAGGTTCTAGTAGCTAAGAAATGTATATAGGCATCATTTCTAACCACTGTATAAATCCACGAAGTTTCACGTAATCACACATTTTCTGTCACGAATTTTTATTATCACGGGCAAGGATAAATACATTTTAATATTTTTGAAAATTTTTTGTATGAACTATGATAAGAAACAAGTAATTGTTAAGGCTAATCCTAATCGTTTTACACTGATCCAATATCTCTTGGGGCAACTTTGACACGTGTTCAGTTTTGCCCGTCGCTGTATAAAGCAATTCTATAAAACTTCGCAGCAATGTCTGGAAGATTTATAGCAATACTGAAATATATATATTCTTTCTCACGTAAAACGTGTATATTCGAGAAATGTTAAACTTCGTACGGAATGTACCGAGTATTAAAAAATGCCACCCCTTCGCACCCCTTAGAAACGCGCTCGCTCTTCGTTCTATAGCTCGTGCATAATAAATTGTTTAAAATCAACGCGCAGCCGTGGTTGGTTATCCTTCCAACAGGTGTTCGCAACAATATCCGCCTTGTTTTTCTTCCGACCCGCGAAGGAACGCGAATATTTCGCGACAACGTGTAAATCGCGAGAACAAGGTTGCGAAGAAAGCGTTTCTTCTGTCCTTTGTGCGGGTCTACCTGGCGAGAGGAATGAAAGAACTTCTCGCCTTGCTTCTTCCTCTTTCTCGCACGATATCCACTCGCCTATCTCTCTCTCTCTCTCCTCGTACTCTTATCGAGGCACCGATGTTTCTATCTTTTGAAACGCGCCGCTTCGACGAACTCCGTGAAACCGTATCAGAAGAAGAGAAATTATTATTCAGCCGAGGGCTATCAAATGAACTCGATCGAGAGATAACGCGAATGCTTTCATTCATACTGCAATCCTTTCTGCAATTTTTTCTTGTCGGATCTCCCGCAAAATGGGGGTCGAACGTCTTCGCGAAGATCTCGGTACGGGGGTTCGCTTCCTTTTTCAGAATTTTCATTCTTATTAATTAATAACGACGAATTTTTGGCGAAATGTCCATTATATTGCGTTACATACTTTCCTGACTTTTCCATTGGAATATTTTCTATAAAGTGTAAGAAAATAACCGACGAACTTATCTTACTGGTCGACGACAGATGGCCCTCGGCTTCACTATCCAACGGGCATCGTCGATCGCTGAAAAATGGATCGCGATATCTTTATGCTAATGTAAACTAGTGAAAACATGATTCTATAAACGATGGAGAGCGAAGAGAACCATAGGGACGAAGCCTCCACGCGTGAGGTGTAGTCAGCTGGTCAGGGACCTTCGAGCAGTTAATGAGAGATCTGAGTGTGAAATGAAATAAAATTTGTCGAGACAAGACGCTTTTGAGGTTTTGACTCGTATCTCTTCATCTTTTGACTCTTCTTTCCTTCCTTCCGATCCTTACCACCCCCCTAACAAAAGATACCATCGACACACTTCCCTGGCATACTTAATTACTTTTTCTCTTTTTATCGTCGATATATTTGACAATGGCTGCAGGGTGTGATATTAGGCGATTAATAACCGGTTACCAGAAGTTGTAACGGCGTAAAGGATTACGAGGTTACGAGTTTCGAAAGTCGATGGTAATAGACAGCCCGCGGAACGAGGTGCAGTGAAATTGATACAAGCAGAAGCGTAAACATTGTTTAATATCTAAGACGTTGACGCTTGTTCGTGAAACAAGCTTCTAATGGTGTAGTTGCGAGAAGTTTGATGAACTACGGCCATAAAGTTCCGCTCAAGCAATCAACCATTTATGATCTAATGCGTTTCAGATTTTCCCGATCCGTGAACACGAGCTTTCGTGACATTTTCTTTTTCACTTGGCGCTATTGCGTAAATCCTCGCGGTAATTCAATATTTATTTATTTATTGTTTACCCGCTGTGCCATTTCAAACATGGAAAACTGGATCACCCGTTTCGATGGTCACGCGGGATTTCGAACAAAATTATACTTGCATATTCGAATTTGAAACGAGATCGTTCGACACGATCGATACTAGATGAAATATCAGAAGAATTTTCTTCCTTTCTTTTGGAAAATTCATGGAAGGTATTAAATGCCGATATCGTAAAGGAATATGTTAAAGTACCGCTTTCTCCCGCATATCGAAAGCCTAGAATCACGCGTGGAAAGTACGAAGATGAAGAAAAATTAAAAATTCAGATCATTCTCGAATTGCAGTTTCCAGTTCGCTTCATTTAAGACCAAGCTCGCCCCCGTCTGACCTAACCCTTTCATTCCGTGCCTCCTTAAAGCAACCATACCCCGAAGTAACCACCCCTTCAGCTCCTCCTCTATTCATCCCTGATATAATAACATTTCCAGGGGTTTAAAACTGTTACAATATCGATTCCGATACTCGAAACAGTTTCAAAGAACCGTTATTTTCTGTAACAGTTACGAGAAACTCAAATCAGCGAGGACATTGATTTTAATTGCACTCCCTGTAGCTTTTCAAATACCTTAAATTTGCTAACCAATTATTAAACAGAGACACAAACTCCGAGTAAAAATCTGAAAAGGTCTAAGTTATTGTACGATGTTACAATAAATAACTTTTTATGCGTACCGTGACCATTTTTAACAAATGACCCTCAATTAACCTGATTTTTATTCATTACATAAATGTCCTTACTTTAAAAGGTATCAAAAATATTTTAATATACGCGTGTCTCGGGAACCTACAATACGAGAGCGCAAATAAAAGAGGAATACATAAATAATTAGCTGTATTGTTAATAATAGAGTAACATCGTTCGTAATAAATTACGCGAAACGCAAAATCGCGATAAATGCGAAAAAGTTAATAAAACATTTGCTATTACAGCTACCAAATTAATTGTTAACGAAAGTTGCAACGATCGGGAATTTTCGGCCGATTTCGGGTACACGAATGTTCGGGTCGATAAATGCCGGAGCTCGATCACCGATTTCCTTCCAGATCGAAGGGATCTAAATTTTCGTAGGG